TTGCTGGAGCCTCCCCGCTCCCAGCTCCCTCTCGCTGCCAGCGGCGGCTGTCACTTCCCGCCCGGGTGCCATCTGCCCTTCCATCCTGCCTCCCTCGAGGCCCTCCACACCCCCTTTCCAGCTTCCCCCACTTCCTCCCTAGCTTTCTCCCCTCTTTGCCTTTCTCAACTGCACACCGCCAGAGTATGGTCATTTCCTGCCCACTCCTCACTGCTCTGAAAAACAAAACGCTGCAAAACAACAAGGCTTCTCTCTGCTTCCCTAAGTCAGCAGGTGACTCCCAGCTTTGTAGTTCGCCCACCTGGGCGAATGTGTGTAAGCCTTGAGGCAATTCCTGCAAGGATGTGAAGGGAAGGTGGCTAGAAGTAGAACTGACAGCCGCACAGGGATCGCCACGCTTTGGATTCCTCCCTAAGATGCAAGTTTATTGCCGTGTCGTACATATGCATTCATTCAATCAAAAACACTGCCATGTGTTCGGTGCCAGGCCCTGCATTGCATTAGCCACGATGCAAAGATCAGAATCCATCCCTGATCTCTCACAGGTGGAGCTGTGAGAGCCTAAGGCTCACCATCCTGGAGTTCTTGGTGAGATAGGGTGGCCAGATTTGGCAAATTAAAAAGAAAGGTGTCACCAGATTTGAATTTCACATATGTAATAGAATTCTCAAAACATAAATGTGTTCTAAATACTGCGTGGGGCACACTCATACTAAAAAAGGAATTACGGGCAGGCATTTGGCCTAGCAGTTGAGATGCTCCTGATCAGGGTACCTGGACCGCACCCCTTGCTCTGCTCCCGACTCCAGCTTCTTGCTGATGCAGATCCTGATACTTGGAGACCTCGATTGAGTTTCCAGCTGGGGCTGTTGCAGATATCTGGCAAGTAAACCAGCAGATTCTCTCTCTGCCTCCCTCTCAAAGAAATATATAATTTAGCAATTATTGTTTATCTGAAGCTCAAATAGAATCCATCACCAAGCACCCTGTATCTCATGCAGCAACACTGCAGTGGGGACTCTTACGTCAGGTACCGACCGCTTCAGGAAAAAATGGTGTCCTATAGCCTTAAACACTCCTATAGCAGTTAAACATTCAGGAGCCAGAGCGGGAGGAGGGGGGTGGCAGAGCCATAACCTAATGGCTAAAGTCTTGCATGTGCCAGCATCCCATTGGGTGCCTGTTCGTTTCCCATGAGCACCATTTCCCATGCAGCTCCCTGCTTGTGGCCTGGGAATGCAGTAGAGGACAGCCCAAAGCCTTGGGACCCTGCACCCAAAGGAGGCTCCTGGCTCCCGGTTTCCGATCAGCTTAGCTATGGCCATGGTAACCACTTGGGAGAGTGAACCAGCAGATGGAAGGCCTTGCTCTCTGTCTCTCCTCTCTGTAGATTTGACTTTCCAATAAATAAATAAATAAATCTCAAATCTCAAAAAAGAAAAAAAAAAACCACTCAGGAGTCATTAGATGATGGTGAGCCTCAACAGTAAGGGGCCCACTGAATGGAGTAGCATAACTAAATTTAGGTTTTAGGAAAATGCGTCTATTGATTTCTTGGAGAATTCCTTTAGAGGAACAACAGTGGGGTAAAGCTAGTTGTGACTGTATAGGCATGAGAAAGCAGCGTCGTGCACGGCCGGCTCTCCCAAGGGTTAACTCCACAGCTCAGCTTGTTTTTCAAAGGTGTAACAGGAAGGGCAATCTTGGCCTGATAGATTTATCCCCTGGTTTGACTGCAAGTTCCCTCCTTCCTGCTTCCTCTTTTTGCATGCCCTGGGGCGGCGGCGGGGGGGGGGGGGGGGGGGGAAGCTTAGGTGTTGCTTAAGCATTGGGAAAATCCTGGGAGGGGCCAAGCAGACTATATAAGAGCAGTTCGAGTTTGAATAAGGGGCCTTCTCTTCACAAAAATGATCCACTTTGTGTTGTCTGTCTCATAACCCTAGTCCCTCCGCTCGGCTCGGGGTGCGGTGATGCGGGCGTTGCCAACAGCGTCGAGTCGATAGAATGTCATTGAGAACAGGTGGAGGGTGAGGGAGAATAGGAGAGTCTGTGTTGAATAGGAGGATGAGGTTGCCACACTGGTAGCAAGGGCAGTTCCACAGAACAACAGGGTTCAAGGAGAGAAAAGTGGAGCAGGGGCCTGTGTTTTTGTGTAGCACGTTAAGCCACCGACAATGCCAGCATCTCATGTGGTGCTTGTTCGAGTCCAGCTTGCTGCACTTCTGGTCCCGCTATCTACGAATGCACCTGGGAAAGGAGCAGATGGCCCAAGTGTATGGAAGACTCTAATGAAGGTCCCAGCTTTGAATTGGAAGAGGCCCAAGAATACCAGCAAACACAGTTGGAGGGAGAGAAGGTGGTGTGGAGAGGGCAGGGAGGGCAAAGAATTGTTGCTAGGAATGACAAGGACAGCAACGTGGCCTTGGCAGATTGTAAAAGGAAGCTAAGATCCCTGAACAGTAAGGAGATCTGTCGGAGCGAGAGATTCTTCGCGCCCAGCCAGCTCCCAGCCGTGCATGGGCTCACTTGATTTAGGGCTTGATCCGCAACAAAACACTCTGCAAGCCTTCCTTAGATAAGCCATAAAACGTTTATTGAGCAGGGAGAATAAAATAAGCAAAGATAAAAGAAGCCAAGGTAAGAGGGAAAAGGGGACATGAGGGTAAAGGAGGAGAATGATCTGCTTTAGTATTTCTCGCCATAGGGCCGCTCTCCGCAACACGACCCTCAGCACCGGGCCCGGAGCAGCACATCACCGGCCATCACCGGCAATCCAGCGCTGGACGAGGACATCACGGCAACTCAATAGGGCATGCTTCTTCCTCTTCTTCCCTGGCTATTGGCTGTATATATAATCCTTTACACAAAAGCGGCACTGGGCCAGCTCTTCTGGCCCGGTACCTTCTCCCTGACCCATACACACATTCTTTCCCAGCCCCAGCCGGGGGCCCAGACAGAACATGTGTAGGCAGGGGAACTTTATCTTGTGTAAATGATCTTGCAGACCCGCACCTCCTTCAGCCCTGGCCAGAAGCTTAAAGGGAGTGTGTGCAGCACAAGTCCGCATCTCAAATGAAACACCCTTCCTTGTCCCGGATCTTCCCAGGGTCGGCCTAACCTGGACCTGAACCGGGAGAGCAAGTTCTTAACTATTTAAGAGCCAAGCCTCATACAGCAGTAATTTTCTTTTCTTTTTAAAAATATTTATTTATTTTTATTTCGAAGTCAGATATACGGAGAGGAGGAGAGACAGAGAGGAAGATCTTCCGTCTGATGATTCACTCCCCAAGTGAGCCCAACAGCTGGAGCTGAACCAATCTGGAGCCAGGAACCTCTTCCAGGTCTCCCACGCGGGTGCAGGGTCCCAAGGCTTTGGGCCGTCCTCGACTGCTTTCCCAGGCCACAGGCAGGGAGCTGGAAGGGAAGTGGAGGTGCCGGGATTAGAACCGGCGCCCATATGGGATCCCGGTGTGTTCAAGGCGAGGACTTTAGCCATTAGGCCACGCCACCGGGCCCACAGCAGTAATATTCCCCACAAGATCATATACCTGAACCTACATACACTCCCAAGATTAATAAGTTCAGTACATTCATTTGAAGTGCCTAGCTCATGCCAGGAAGTGTTCTTGATATTGGATAGTAACAAAGTAAACCTGGGGCCAAAGCCTGAGGCTTACCTTTCAGCAGGCTGATCAGTACACGGGCAAAGTCAATGTAAGCCAACGGACAGGCTCATAAGCCTTGAGGCGAAAGCCATAACCTGAAAACCATGTATCACTAGGTGACAAAATCTGATCCAAGTAGTTTATTTATTTATCTTCTTGGAAAGGCAGATATACAGAGGAGAGACGGGAAGATCTTCTGTCCGATGGTTCAGTCTCCCAGTGACCGCAATGACCCAGAGCTGACCAATCCAAAGCCATGGGGCCAGGAGCCTCTTCTGGGTCTCCCATGCAGGTACAGCATCCCAAGGGCCGTCCTTTGCCAGGCCACAGGCAGGGAGCTGGATGAAAGTGGGGCCACTGGGTTTAGAACCGGCGCCCACATGGGATCCTGGCGCATTCAAGGCGAGGACTTGAACCGCTACGCCATCACGCCGGGCCCCCAAACAGTTTTTATTCTTACTTGCTGTGGTTGCTGTGAACTTTGCTACCTTACAGCTAAGCAGCACTAATGTTTAATCATGACATCCAGACTTCCCTCACTAGTTATGCAATGGATATTATCCACTGTGTAAAGTTATGTAATGTAGCCTATGTCCTCCTTTCTAAACTTGAGAAAATCCTGATTTTTAAAAACATATCCAATCTCAAAATTAAAAAAAAAAAGGAGGGGGGAGGATTATGGACCTGTAACTGCTATAAAGCGAATTCAAATATGGAATGGTAGAGGAAGAGGCAGCTACAGCACAAGTGGTCAAGAAGGACTTGTGTGGGGAGGCGACAGTTTTTTTTTTTTTTTTTTTAAAGCAGATTTTACAGAGAGGAAAGGACAGATAAAGAAGGACTTCCATCCACTGGTTCAGTCCCCAAGTGGACGCAACAATTAGAGCTGACTTGAAGCCAGGAGCTTCTTCTTGGTCTCCCACATAGGTGCAGGGTCCCAAGGCTTTGGGCCGTGCTCTACTGCTTTCCCAGGCCACAAGCAGAGAGCTGAATGGGAAGTGGGACTGCCAGGATTAGAACCAGTGCCCATATGGGATCCCAGTGCATGCAAGGTGAGGACTTTAGCCACTAGGCTATCGCACCGGGCCCGGGACTGATATTCAATGTCCACCTGGTCATCTACCTTCCCCCTCCCCGAAGCGCTGCCTGACTGAAGGGCAGGTGGCGTGATGGGTTTGGACTGCTGCTATTGGAGACTTTCCAGGATCTGGAAAAACTTTCTGAGAACGTTCCCTGGCCTAGGGCCGGGAGCAGCAGACTACGCCCCTACGTCCTGCGCGGCAGAACATCCAGGCGCAGGCCCCGCCCCGCGGCTCGACCTCGGTCAATCAGCGAGCGCTTGCCGCCCGGAGTGTAGAAGCTGGGAAACATGGCTGCGGCGTGTCGCAGCGTGAAGGTACGTAGCGCCTTTCTTTGCCGCCTGTCCCGCTACACGGGCCGGGATGGCGCGGACGCAGAACCTGAGGGACGACATCGGTGTCCCAAGAGACGGTCGTCGTTTTGCAGGTCTGGGGTTGCGGCATTTGGGCTCAGGCGGTGAAGTCAGTACCCACTCGGGGGTGCCCTCGTCCTCATTGAAGGGGTCGTTGGACTGACTGTCGGCATTGAGACCCGCCCCGCCACCCCAAGTTCCCCCAGTCAGAGGACGCGGCACTCCTGGGTCGTACCAAAGGGGCCACCCGGAGCCGCCCCTCCCCGTTTCTCCGCAGACGCTGCGAGAACAGATACGAGAGTGGTGTACAAACTGTCTCCGTCTTCCCAGGGTCTGGTAGCCGTTATAACTGGGGGAGCCTCTGGCCTGGGCTTGGCCACTGCGAAACGACTAGTGGCTCAGGGCGCCTCCGCTGTGCTTCTGGACCTGCCCAACTCCGATGGGGAGGCTCAAGCCAAGAATTTAGGAAAGAGCTGCACCTTTGCCCCAGCTGATGTAAGTGGAATTATCTCTCCTCTCCTACGATGTGGGCTGTTCTGTGGGAGAGTGCTGTGTCCATGGCCTTGGCCCATTTCACCCGAGCCTTCCAAACTTTGTGGGAGTACCTGTGATGTCAGGATTCACAACAGTGGGGGAGGGGACGTGGCTGAATGTCCCGGGGACAGTTGGAAACTGCATATGTGCGCTAGCTTAGAATTTTACTAAGTTGAAAACCTGTTATAAAACAAGGTGCGTGGGCCCGGCGCGGTGGCGCAAGTGGTTAAAGGTCCTCGCCTTGCACGCCCCGGGATCCCATATGGGCGCCGGTTCTAATCCCGGCAGCCCCGCTTCCCTTCCAGCTCCCTGCCTGTGGCCTGTGAAGGCAGTCGAGGACGGCCCAAAGCTTTGGGACCCTGCACCCGCGTGGGAGACCCGCAAGAGGCTCCTGGCTTCGGATCGGCATAGTATCGGCACGTTGCGCTCACTTGGGGAGTGAATAATCGGATGGAAGATCTTCCTCTCTGTCTCTCCTCTCTGTATATCCGCCTTTCCAATGAAAAAATAATAAAAATAAATCTTTAAAAAAAAAAAAAATAAAAATAAAAAAAAAAAAAAACAAGGTGCGGAAAGTAGAGCTTGATGGATCCTTTTGGAGGGTAAGGATCTGAAAAAAACCTAGTTTTTCTTGTAATTTTTTTTTGAGATTGTTTAACCTCAAGCTGCACAGAATAGAGCTTCATGGATCATTTTGATGGGTAGCGATATGAGAAAAAATAATTTTTCTTCTTGTAACTTTTTTTTGAGTTTGATTAACCTCAGAGAGAGAGAGTTGATTAACCTCAAAAAGAGAGAGATATTCCAACCTCTGTTTGATTACCTAGGTAGACTCAACGGCCAGGCTAAAACCAGGAACTCTGTCTGGATCTCCCACATGCACGGCAGGAACCCAAGCTGTTGGATCATTGGACCATTAGCCACAAGCTATGTTTGAAGTGGAGCAGCTGGGACAAAACCAGCATGCACAAGGGGTACTGCTGTTGCTACCCTACACCACAGCGCTGGCCCCAGTGACTTCCAAAACAGACCCAAAGCAATTGGAAGTCTGCAGAGGCGTGCGGATTGCTTTCTTTTTCTTCTTCTTCTTCTTGTTTTTTTTTTTTTTATTTGAAAGATTTCACAGAGAGAGTAGAGAGATCTTCCATCCACTGGTTCACTCCCCAAGTGGCTACAATGCCAGAGCTGAGCTGATCCAAAGCCAGGAGTCAGGAGCTTCTTCTGGGTCTCCCACGTGGGTGTAGGAGCCTAAGGACTTGAGCCCTCCTCCATTGCTTTTCCAGGTCAGCCCCTGCCTGCATCAGTTCCTGCCATGTAAACTTCTTCACAAGGATACACTGAAAAGTTTGATAGTCATGCCCTGTGGAATATTTAAGGTCTTCTCCTTTGCCCGACTCTTCTCTCTCAGTTCTACCATAACCCTTTTCCCTTAACTCATACAGTTCTGTTTTCAGGGGCTGGTCCAATGGCTTAACTGGCTGATCCTCCTCTTGCAAGTACCAGGATCCCACATGGGCACCGGTTCTTGCCCAGCTGTTCCACTTCCCATCCAGCTCCCTGCTTGTGGCCTGGGATAGCAGTCAAGAACGGCCCAAAGCCTTGGGACCCTGCACCCGCAAGGGAGACCCAAAAGAAGCTCCTGGCTTCAAACTGGCTGAGCTCCAGCCATTGCATTCATTTGGGTAGTGAACCAGTGGATGGAAGATCTTTGTCTCTCCTCCTCTCTGTTCATTTGCCTTTCTAATGAAAACAATTCTGTTCTCACCCAGAGAGCAGACCTGTCCTCTGCCCCTCTAGTGTAGAGGTGAGACTCTGTGCTGGGAGATGCACACACTTTGCCCGTTTGTCCCTTTGAAGGTGACCTCTGAGAAGGACGTGCAAGCAGCTCTGACTCTAGCAAAAGACAAGTTTGGCCGAGTGGATGTGGCTGTCAACTGTGCAGGCATCGCAGTGGCCACAAAGACTTACAACTCGAAGAAGAACCTGCCTCATGCCTTGCAGGACTTCCAGCGGGTCCTCAACGTAAGGCCTTGCAGGCTTTCTTAGGGGCAGGAGTTCAGAGGCTCCCCTCCTGCCTTGGCTCCTACTGAGTGTGTTGGTGAATGACCCCTCCCATCCCGCAGGTGAATCTCATAGGCACCTTCAATGTGATCCGCCTGGTGGCAGGGGAGATGAGCCAGAATGAACCGGATGCGGGAGGCCAACGCGGAGTCATCATCAACACTGCCAGCGTTGCTGCCTTTGAGGGCCAGGTGTGTGGGCAGGGCCAAGGTTTGTGTCTCCACAGTGACTTGTGGAGGCCCTCCCGCCTATAATTTACATGTCTTCCCCAGGTTGGCCAAGCTGCATACTCGGCTTCCAAGGGTGGCATAGTGGGCATGACGCTGCCCATTGCCCGGGATCTGGCTCCCATAGGCATCCGGGTGATGACTATTGCTCCAGGTGTGCATTTTTTTCCTCTCCCTGCTCTGCCTGGGATTGGTTGGGATCTGAGGTCATTGAGTGGGGAAGTGGTATACCATCTAAGCGATGGTACTCTTCCATCTGTGGGCCCCAGGGAGGCGACAGGGGGAGGAGGGACTGGGGCCAGATGAAAGCCATGGGCGGGACCCTGACTCTGGCCATCTCCCCTAGGCCTGTTTGGCACCCCGCTGCTGACCACTCTCCCAGAGAAGGTGCGCACCTTCTTGGCCAGCCAGGTGCCCTTCCCCAGCCGACTGGGTGATCCTGATGAATATGCTCATCTGATCCAGAGCATCATTGAAAACCCGTTCCTCAACGGAGAGGTCATCCGGCTGGACGGGGCCATCCGCATGCAGCCTTGAAGGGAGCAGGCAGAGAAGACGCATTCCTCTGCCTCCCTTCCCTGTAACTGCCCACCAGTCACCCTCTGTGCCTAATAAAGTTTCTTTCTCACAGGGCAAAAGCGGTGTTGTGTGCCTGCAGGTGGACTGTTAGGGGCAAGTGTGATAGGGGCTCTAACAGGGTTGGCTGCCCCAGGGCCCTGGGGTAGGGATGGGCGTAGCTGTGGGGCTGGGCAAGGTGCTACATCACACTGTTTGTGTCCTGTTCCAACAACATGTGACCTTGAGGTTAATGAATAAATGTATTTTCTCAGGTAGAAAGTGAGGGTATTGGCTCAGATCTCTCCCGGGGGGGGGGGGGGGGGGGAATGGGTTAGGGGTGAGGGTTCAGAGACTTGTCGACTTCCCCTCCAGGCATCTGTTGAGCTTGATGAAGAGGAAGGTGGCGGGGGGGGGGGGGGGAAGAGATGCCCACTGTGAACTCAGCGGCTGCTGGTGTTGAACTGCAGGTAGTACTGGTCTGTAGGCTGGTTGGTGTAGATCATCGAGTTCAGATGCTTCTGCCTGTGAAAGAAGGTCAGAGCATTCGGCTGCTGGGCTGCCCCCTCCGCCCTGCCCCCTGCCCCCCCTCTGCAGGCTCCCTGGCCACGTATCTGTGCTACAGCCCTGCTGCCGCCACTGCCCAAGACCTGACTCACTGAGCTTTTTGCTCGGAGGCCAGGTACTGGTTGAGGGAGCCTAGCCCCCTGCGCAGTTCGGCACACAGTATCCTCTCCTGCTCTTCCAGCTCCTCTGTCGCCTTGGCGGCACACGCTGTCTGCTTCTGCCATTCGGCCTCCTGAGCTTTCTCAGCCTGGCGCTGGGCCTCTCTCTCTTGGCGTTGGGCCTCCTGGGTCTTGCGGATGGCTGCTCGCTGCTCTGGAGTCATGCCCTTCCAGCTGTGAGGCAGGACCCGGTGCAGGGCCTTGGTGTTCTGGGCCACCTTCGGGTTCTCGGTCAGCAGGTCACTGTTGACCTGGCTCCATATCTCCTTGCGGTTGGCCGCCTGTTCACGCTGCCGCTCGGTGCGCTGCCGCCTGGCCTTCTCAGCTGCCTGAGAGAGCGCTTGAGATGGTAACCATTTGCTGCCCTGCCTCAGGCAGACCATCCCGAATTGGGGAGGGTGGGAAACATAGCCTGCTCTCAGAGGAAAAGAGAGGGGTGGGGTGATTGGGAAACTGGAACCCCACCCACCCTCCCTCACGCTGAAAGGCTGAAGATGACAAGGCACCATCTTATTCTCTAGTCATCCTGCATCTGCAGTTGCAGAGCGGCAACTTGTGCCCCAATAGGGACATCAAGGTGAATGGCAGGTGCTGATTAAAGAGGGGGCGGGAGGGGGTGCATGAGGGGACAGATTTGCTCCAAGTCTCCTAGGACTTCGTTCAGGGGCTGAGGAGAACCTGGGCTGAGCCCGGGCCACCAACTGGCTCAGGCCAACATACCTGGGCCTTGTTGGCGTTGGCCATCGCACATTTCATGGCTATGCGGCAGGACTCCTCCAGCTTGGCGATCTGACTGGCCCGCAGCTCTGCGGCCATCCGCAGCTGGTCACTGAGCTGATCTATGGGAGAGATGTGACCAGGGCCCTGAGGCCTGCTGCATCCCTGCTTGGCTTACTTGACCATTTGTTTAGTTAGTCTTGCATCTGTGTGTGTATGTGTGTTTCTGGGAGGAGAGGAGCGTCCAAGCTGAGCGGCAGCAACAAGGCCTTTGTAAGTGCCTAAGTGAAAGATGCTGCCGCCTTATGGACTGCGGTCCCCATGCCAGCTTAAGCACTTCTGGCCTTAAAGAAATTTCTTTCACTCCTCTGAGCCTCAGGCCAAGGGTCATGTGTTGGATCCTGAAGACACCATGGAATTACATCTTGGCCTCCAAGGACTCCCTGTCTAGTAGGTGAGACAGATGAAATAAAATTGAGATCATAAGCTGGAAGAGACACTTGGAGAGAGGCATCAGAGCACTTCACAAAAGGAAGTTCGAAGATGTCTCTTTGGGTGCACAAACCATTGACATGCATGCAGTTGTTTTTTTCATATGGACATTTCCTACAGGCTTTTTGAAAACTCATACATAGGGTATTAGGTGGTAAGTGAGACAAAGACTTCCAGGAGGAGGTGCTCCTGGAAATAGATACAGGCAGAAGGAATAAAGGGCATTTGGGACTGGAGGCCCAGCGTGTGCAAAGGCAATGAGGACCTCCCACCCCCTACTCTAGCTACAGTGTTCTTGTTGTTCTGGGACCTGGTAGACACTGTACCATGCCATTGGGATGCAGGGGTGGATGTGAGAGAGATGCCTCATCTTCAGCAAGTTGGGAGAGAGGGCAGACTTTGGACAAGTCCTTTCCTAGTTAGCTACAACCATGGTCAGCAGCCGGCAGAACAGGATGCTCTCGAAGCAGAGAGTCAGTAGGCAAGACTTGATCCTCACCCTGGAAGGAGTTCCTCTAATGGGAAGAGTAGGATGCAGCCACAGACAGTCAGCTTTCTGTGCGGTCTGCATGATTATCCCCATTTTGAAAGACAAAGAAATTGAAACACAGAGACAAAGCATCATTGGCCACACCAGCCAGTGATGGCAGAGCTGTTGAGTTTTTGCACTATGGCTGCCTCCAGGTAATGAAGTTAGGTTCAACAGCTACACTGTCAGTTACTGGAGGAAGTCAGGGAGGTTGGGTCTACACAGGCTCACTTTTCAAGAGAGGGCCGCATGGGTAACTGGACCATCCTACTGGTCTTCTGGCCTCTGTTCCCACTCTAGGACAGCCGTGCCCTCTAACCACCCCACCCCGCATCACCCATGCCTCAACTTGGGCTCTGAGTCTGGAGGACAGCCTTGCTTACCTACACGCAGCTGTTCAGTCTTGGCTTGCTGTTGCTGTTGCACCTGAGTATTGAGGCTGGCTCTGAACTGCTCCTGCTGCATTCTCAGGCATGCAGCCTTGTGCAGCTCATCCCCAGAGAAATACTGCAGGCTGGAGGCATCACAGTAGGGATCACTGACACCGGGCTGTGGCCACAGTGGGTTTGAATTCCAAAGGTTGTATTCGTTCTTGTGGAGGCACTGCTTCTGGTCGCAGTGATTTTGCATTGTCTTAGCCTTCCGGTAGGCACGTTCTGCTGCTTCCTTCTCTAGCATCTGGGATGCCATGTCATTCTGCATGTAGCTGACACCTGAGAGTAGGAGGGCAGCGGCAGAGAGAAGGCAACACACAGCAGACAAAACCTACTGACTATGGCTTCTGATTCCCCAGGCCCACTGGGGAGTCCTCCCCCCAACCCTAAGAGGCAGAACTGCCCTACCTTAATCCCCTCAGGCTCTTGCTCTGCCACTCCCCGCAGCCCCCACAATCTGGCCTTTGGCCTTGGGCTTTTACCATAAACATGCTCCTTGTAGCGCTCTTCGGCTTCCCGAATCTTTCGCTCTTCCACCTGGTTGTTCAGAGCTTCAATATCCACCTGGTTCCAAAGAAGGTAGGTAAATCAGGGTAGGGCTTAGCATGGAGCCTTGAATGCTCTAGCAAACTGCTCTGAATTTACTACCTTTCAACCCCCTCCTGTAATGCCACAGGACCTGCTGCATGGAGCTCTGACCCCCGAGCATGGCATCTAAACCCGTCTGTGCTGTAGCCTCCTGTTTCCCCTCCTGTCCCAGCACACTAGCCCCCCAGGGCTGGCCTTGCAGCTCCTGTGCCTCTCAGGCCGCCTGCACCCTAGAGTAGAGCTCCCTCTACTTGACACAGTTGATTTCTCTCTTCCCCAGAACCCCAGGTTCACCACACTGACCTCCCAGGCAGAATCTATGCCATCTAGCTGAGAACCTGTGCTCCACAGGATGCTAAAGCTGGCCTTTCCTGCAAGCTGACAGCATTTTGGGGGGCAGTAACAAGGTCCTTACTCATCGTCTCCCCACTATTCAACATGGTACTCGGCACAGAGGAGCTCCCCCAGGAGCTGACTTGCCTCGACTCCCCTCAGCACTTCCGGTACAGAGGAGGATTCTAGAGCTCAGAAAGGACAGGTGACCCATCCAGAAGCACACATCTAATCAACAGCAGACCTGGCCTTGAACAGGGGGCATATGGCGTCTTTCGTGGAAGACCCCATGCTGCATCCTCCTCTATCCATTCACCCAGCCATCTTTTAGTTTCATGAATTATCAGGATTTTCTCTTTATGTTTTTGATCATGACTCATTTACAACAGTTCAAACACTACAACAGGAAATAATACAGTTTAGTGACAGTGAGTGTCCCTTGCCTGTGTGTACCTCAGCCTGGTTAACAGTTTATTACATAGCCTTGCAGAGGTGGCTTAGGCATATGCAATACTGAATATTCTTTAGGGCTCTTTTGGCTGCCTGCTGCCTAGCTCTTGAGACCCAGGCCATATGGTCTAGGACTGACTGGAGAAGTCAATTGCCATTCTTCTCCCATACCATCCAGTCCCTCTTCTCACGTCCTTCCTGGAGCTGTGTGTATGTGTGTGCCTTCTCCTCATCTCCTGTGGTTCCATCCCTAGGGCCTGTCTGAGTCAGGGAGAGGGCTATACCAGGGACTGTTATATTCTGCAGGTGTCAGACGAGCTGACCTCAGTGCTGAGAAATAGCGCTATTGCCCACTCACCCCTATGAGTCGGTTCCGCACATTGAAAAATCGGTTCTGTCGCTCCTTTTCTCTATTCCTTCTGGCCTCAATGGCTGCCATCTCCTTGGGATCGGCTGCCATATCTAATTTAAACATCTGGAGAAAGGGGGCAGAAGAAGGCCTGTCAGTGTGAGCTATCCTCCTAGAGTGTACTCCCCCCGTGCTTCCCCGTCACTGGTTCTTATTGATTTTCTTTTCTGGCATAGTTCCCATCTCTGCTTTCCATCTCGGTTGTCGTTGCTCTAATTCAGACCTCACATTGGTGTCAGCAGACCCTCTGGGGAAGGCCCTACTAGCCTTCCTCGCCCCACTGTCACCCTCTGCACTGCCATTCTATCATCTGAAACCTTACCAAGCAGTCTTCAAGCACATGGCTCCATGGAGCTTGCAAGGAGAGGCCCAGCCCCCCATGGCCAGTTCTAGAAGGTTCTTCATCATCTGATCCCTGCTCCCCTTTCCAGGCCTCAGATACATTTGAAAGCACTTCCCCCTTTTATTAGGCTCTGCTGACTTTTCCTCATTTCAGCAAGTGGGCCCACCGTTCATCCTTCAATTCTTCTCTCTCACTACTCCCTCCTTCAAAATACACCGGCCCCAAGTCCCCATTATCGTCTTCCTGAGTGACTGCAAGCATCTCCACCTTGCTTTCCCTACTGCCCCTGTTGTCTTCTGAAGCTCCCTCATTACACAGAAATCAGACGCACTTTCTTTTTCTACAATCAAGTCCCTCCGGCACTTTTGTTCCTATATTCTAGTTAAATGAAATATTCACATCTTTCCCCATGTTTTGGGAAGCCCACTTGTGGCATGTGAGTCAGCCAAAGCTGCAGCTAACACCAGCTCTGCAAGCAAAAATGTGAGTGTGTGTCTTCTACTGCACTTACAATACGATCCCGACTCTTTCTTGTGCACTACTGAGATCCAGTTCCTTCGACTCCTCCCACCCCTAGCTCCCTTGCCTAGGGTGCTCCAGGCACAACGGCCTCAGTCCAGGAACCCAACAGTCAGAAACCTCAGGGCTTTCCTGGTGTTTCTTTGTTTGCAACATTGTTTCTAAACTCTTCCCATAGCCATTCTGGTATGTTTGCATTTGAAACTATTTTTGTAGCTGTGAAGCCATTGGTAAGCACAGGAGAATGTATATAACCCCTATGAAAATTAGAAAGCAGGAAAATAGAGACCCATCAACGAACTCTCCAGAGGCAGAGAGAGAGAGAGAGAGAGAGAGTCTCATATACTGATTCCCTCCTCGCATGTCCAGAGCAGCTGAGGCCAGCTAAAGTTGGAAAGCTGAGAGTCAAAACTTCAACCTGGGTCTCCCATGTGGGTGGCAGGAATCCAATTACTTGAGGCACCATGGCTGCTTCCAAGAGTCTGCATTAGTAGGAAAGCAGGGTTGGAGAGAGAGAGAGACAGAGAGAGATAGAGAAGGAGAATATCTTCCACCTGCTGGTTCACTCCCCAAATGGCAGCAAGGGCCAGAGCTGGGCTGGTCCGAAGTCAGGAACCAGGAGCCTCATATGGGTCTCCCCATGTGGATGGATGCAGGGGCCCAAGCATCTGTACCATCCTTTGCCACCTTCCCACATGCATCATCCTTGAGCTGGATCAGGAGTGCAGTTGCCAGGACTCAGAAGGTTAGAAAGAAGGCCTCTCGGGGGTTATCTAACAGGTCCTTCAAATGGAGAGGGGAGGAATAGCTGCCATAGCCAGGGTTGGGCCGAGCTAAGGCTAGGAGGCTGGAACTCCACTGAGGTTTCCCATGTGGGTTCAGAAGCCTGAGAACTTGGGCCATCTTCTGCTGCTTTTCCAGGCCATTAGCAGGGAGTGGACAGAAGTGGAGCAGCCAGGACTGCAATTGCCGCCCATATGGGATGCCAGAATTGCAGGCAATAGCATAATTGGCTGCAACACAACATTGGCCTCCTGACTTTTTAAATGATAAGTCTGACTGCTGTGTTAAGAACAGACAGGAGGGAAGGGCGAAGCAAGGCTTTGAAGCAGCATAGCAGTCAGGAGGCTGTTGCAGAGTTGTCTGGGCAAGAGATGATGGTGATTCCCACCCAGCAGGCTCATAGCAGCTCAGGTAGTGATGAATGGTCAGAATGGGGATGCACTTGGAAAGCAGAGCTGACCGGACTGCGTGACAGATGTGATGTGCATCATGAGCGAGGGAGCAGCAGTTTGGAACATGGAGAGTTTGAAGGAACTGTTAGATAACTTACCCTGAGAGCACATAGGCAGCACAGTCAATTTGCTTATTGTGCAAAAATATTTGCTTGCTGCTCCACATGCAAAGATTGCACATCCCTATCTTATGGCCCGAAAGTCAGCCACGTGGTGTGCAGGCCCTGCTGTGAAATGTCACTATCAAACGATGAGGGCTGCTCCTTCAGCAGCCATATGGTAACATACAGCAGTGATGTAGCGGACTCCCAGTGCAAGAAGCAGGAGTGAGAATCTTACAAGTTCCTGAGATTTGGAGGGGGGTGGGGGGTGAATCTAAGGCTTCAGATCATTTTTAGAATTCGTTACAGGAATAATCATGACAACCATTAGTTTAAGGCTAAGAACAGCATTAATCCGGAGTCACAAAATACTTCTGTCAGTAAAGGAGTCTAGAGTTTGAAGCTCCTAGCCTGGATCTCAGCTGACCCAGGCTGCAGCCTTCTGCAGCTTGGGAGCACTTACAGCGTGGCTCATACCCCACGCCCCACATCACATCACCATCGATAAGGGATATGCTCAGTCTAGTATGGATCCTTCTGCCGGTCCCTCCTAGCTCACACTCAGCTCTGCAGGGTCCTGCCAATCCCCGATCCGGTTCCTGTCTGACACAGTAGGCTAAAGTCCCAGCCCAAGTTCCCACACCTTCCACCTGCTCCGGAGGGCATAACCTTGCTATGAGTTGTGACTTGGGTCAGCAAGTGTGTGCTCGGATCCCACCTGCCTCCGTCCCCAAAAGCTGCTCAGACTCCTCCAGGCAGCGTCTCTACTGCCAGCTCTGCCTTAGCAGTAGCTCGTTGCCGCCACGCCCGGCGATGAGAGGCGGGGCCTAAACGACTGGCGGTCGAATGGCATCCATGGCAACGGATCAACAAAACGCTCGGCGCGCGCGCCGGCAGTCCCCGCCCTCGGTTCCGCTCCGCGGCGGAAGTCGGAAGTCCCGTCGGGACTGTCCGGACTCTCGCGAAACTTTGTCTCGGCCCGGCCTGCACTGCGGTGTTTCCCGCGCGGGCAAGCTCGGGTCGCAAGAGAGTTGGGCCTTCCTTGCCGCCGCCGGGATGGGATTCCTGAAATTGATTGAGATCGAGAACTTTAAATCGTACAAAGGTCGACAAATTATCGGACCATTTCAGAGGTTCACCGCCATCATTGGACCCAATGGCTCCGGTGAGATAAAGCCAGCCGAGGCCCCGCGAACGGCCCGGCTCCCCTATTCCCCCCGTTCCGCTATCAGAGTAGTACAGCCCAACACCTGCAACCAGAAACTTTGCGAACCCTAACGGGTGCGCTTGGCACCCCTGGGGGGTGGATGGGCGGCTGGGACCCGTGCTACGACTTTGCTCTCACGGGAGGAGGGCTCGAACCTCCTGCCCGAGATCTTCGTGGGCCCCACTGGGCTCGCGGGGAAAGAACCCATCACTGAGAGGCTCCGCCCACTGCCCCCTCCCGCCCAAAGAGGCGCGTCCGGAACCAGCTGTCAGGTGCGGGACGCACCTTTCCTAGGATCAGTTGGCGCCTCCCAGCCTGGTTTAATGCCTCCGGAAAAACAGGAAAGGTGATAGATCGCCTTTCCGCTGCTACCGACCTCGACTGGTGCGCTTACGCTTTGGCCTGTTCTCTCCCCCCCTCGCGTTGGTACTTTCCAATCCTCCCCCCCTCGCCTATTTTTTTTTTTTTTTTTGATGTTGCTCCCGCCCGGTATTTTAGGAATTTTGGATCCCGGTCTTTCGCTGCCAGATCAGCCAGCATCTCAGAAGCCGTGGCCCCCGAGCTCAGTCCTTTCCCAGCACCAAAACGGTGAAAGGCGTGAATTCCTTTGCTCACCACATTCCTTGCATGCTGATTGTTTATTAGTTACTCAACTTAAGAGTTAGGAAAGACTGGAGAATAGAATGCATATTCTATCAACGAATTTAATGTTCTAGAAAGGAAAGAAGAAAATAAAATAATTTTAAGCTGTCGAAAATGCTATCCAGGAAATGACAAGTTGATGTGATAAACATGGCTTAGTTGATGCTGTTAGGGTGGCCAGAGGAGCCAGCTCGATGGTTCAGCAGGCTAATCTGCCAGCAGCACCAGTACCGCCCATGGGTACCAGTTTATATCTCAGCTGCTCCATTTATATAGAAGCGTTGATGAGGGAAGCCGCTGAATGATGCACCAAGGGTGGGATTGTTCTCATCAACCCTCCAGAAGTGTTCAGTATGGAATCCTGTCATGTTTCTCCACCCCAGGGATGTTCTAATGGAATCATTTTCCACGCTGCAAGGCTGTCCTTGCTGGAGTAGCTTGACCTGAATCCCTAACCTGGAGTCTTGCTTGCTGTTAGCTCTCTGCTTGGTGTAGGGGGTTTGACAGCAGTTGCAGAGGCAGCGAGTTAAAATTGCTTTGCTTTGCTCTCAGTCTTGCGTGCTGTAAATTGCCGGCATCTCTGGCTTCTCACTAGACGACAGGAGGACCAAGAGGATCTCCACATATTGCGGAATGCCCCACGTTCAGGAAGCACTGCTCTAGAGGGCTAATGCTTTCGGCCCTTCAGGTTTTGGTACTGTGACCCCGGTGGAAGAAGCTAGGTGTAGTGTTTGACATTTGTACCCTTAGCGTTGATACATCTGTATATTTTGCAGTTCCTAAGTAAAGGCCCTTGGCCTGACTGCCTCTTCCTCCACATCCCCTTTCTTAAGGGCTCATTTCTACGAGGCATTTTTTGCTTCCCTTTTAATGAATTAGCGCTTTCTCTCCTGCCCCTAGTAAAGGATTGGTGCCTTGTAGCAAGTTGAAGCATTGTGAGAGATCTTTATCCCCTGAAGCTCCCGTGGCAGAGGTCTAAAGATTGTAAACTTATCCCTCAGTGACTGATTTCCTGTCTGTATGATATCCCTAATCCTGTTGTGGTGAAGGAGAGCTGAAAGTCCACGGCCGCTACAATGTAACAGTCATTTGTTGAGCACTTGGTATGCATCTAAAGTACTTTCATGTTCAGGGTGGCTTTATCTGATACCGTCTTTAGCAGGACCTTAGGAGGGGGTAACATACTTGCATTTCATTCATGAGGAGATTGAGGTACAATGCTGTGGTAAACCAGTGGCCCCAGTTCTCCAAGGCAGGATCAGAGCCCAGAGTGGCTGCCTTCCCGGGAGGACCTGGGCTGTCTGCTGGAAATCAGGCCCTCAGTTCAAAGTCGGCAACCTGTTTTGAGGAGACTCTTCAGATCAAATTTAGAAAGATTGAACTGTTCCTTCTCATCCTGCAACCCCAATCTAATCTTTTTTTTTTTTTTTTAAGATTTATTTATGTTTATTGCAAAGTCGGAGATATATATAGAGGAGGAGAGATGGAGAGAAATATCCTGTCCAATGATTCATTTCCCAAGTGACCACAATGTCTGGTGCTGCGACAATCCGAAGCCAGGAGCCCAGATCCTCTTCCAGGTCTCCCACGTGGGTGCAGGGTCCCAAGATCTTGAGCCGTCCTCGGCTGCTTTCTCAGGCACAAGCAGGGAGCTGGATAGGAAGCAGGGCTTCCGGGATTAGAATCAGTGCCCATATGGGATCCTGGCGCATTCAAGACAAGGACTTTAGCCGCTAGGCTAGGCCCCAATCTAGCCTTTTAAAAATGTCATCTTATTGAGTTCCATTATGACAAAAACAAAACAAAACAAAAAAACAAAACTAACTCTACCACTGTAAAGATAGCCACTTTAAATTAAAAAAGTATATGTGGAGTTTTTTTTTTTTTTTAAGATTTATTTATTTGAAAGGCAGTATTACAGAGAGCGAGAGAGAGGGAGTCTTTCATCTGCTGGTTCACCCCCCAAGTGGCTGTAACAGCTGTAGCTGAGCCAATCTGCAGCCAGGAGCCTCTTCTGGGTCTCCCATGCAGGTGCAGGGTCCCAAGGCTTTGGGCCGTCCTCGACTGCTTTCCCAGGCCACAGGCAGGGAGCTGGATGGGAAGTGGAGCAGCCAGGATTAGAACTTGTGTCCACATGGGATGTTGGCACTGCAGGTGACAGCTTTACTTGCTTCATCACAACACCAGTCCCAGAGTGTGTGTGTGTGTGTGTGTGTGTGTGTGTGTGTTTAATATTATATGTTTATCGGCCCGGCACGGTGGCGCAGTGGTTAAGGTCCTCGCCTTGCACGCCCAGGATCCCATATGAGTCATGTTTCCTGTCCCGGCTCCTCCTCTTCCCATCCAGCTCCCCGCCTGTGGCCCGGGAAAGCAGTCGAGGATGGCCCAAAGGTTTGGGACCCTGCACCCGTGTGGGAGACCTGGAAGAGGCTCCTGGCTTCAGATCAGTGCAGCATCGGCCATTGCGCTCACTTAGGGAGTGAATCATCAGATGGAAGATCTTCCTCTCTGTCTGTCCTCTCTGTATATCCGCCTTTCCAATAAAAATAAAATAAATCTTTAAAAAAAAATTATATGTTTATTTGAAAGGCAGAGAGATGGGACAGAGTTGACCCATCTATTCACTCCCCAAATGTCTGTAAGAGTCATGGCTGGGTCGGTCAGAAGCCAGGAACTCAGTCAAGTCTTCTGTGTGGGTGGCGAGAACCACTTGAGCTGTGACCTCCTGCCTCCCAGGATACACCTTAGTAGGAAGCTGGAATCAAGAGCAGAGTAACCCGGGCTTGAACCAGATGCTCCAGTAGGGGGGCGCAGGTGCCCCAAGTATGTCTTAACCATTATGCTAAGTGCCTTCCCCAAGATAGCCACTTTTGTTTTAAAATATTATTTTTGGAAGGTAGAATGACAGAGACAGAATTTTTCTATATATGTGTGGCAGTCAGGGCTGGGCCAGGCTGAAGCTAGGAGCCAGGAACGCCATTTGGGTCTCCTACGTGGGTGACAGGGGACTCGATTGCTTGAGCCATCATCTACTGCCTCCAGGTACATTAGCAGGAAACTGGATTGGAAGCAAGGAGCTGGGACTCGCAGCAGTTACTGTTACTGGGATGTAGGCATTCTACGCAGCAGTTTAACCTGTTGTACCGCTATTCTCTGCCCCAGGAAAGCTCTTCTTAATGTTAAACAAGCTGTGTTTAATTGTATAGTTGATACGTACACATGCTATGACATTTTAGCAAAATCCCTAAAAGTATACAAGAAAGAGGGTCCTTTGCCTTTAGCTAGTTTCCTTTTCACAAGCAGTTACTATTATACTAGGTGTATTTGCATCTGTTTCTTCCCATGTCTTTCCCATCTCCTCTAGTTTTCATTATGAAAATTTGTAAGTGCATTTAGTTTACTTAGTCATTTGAAAGTAACTTGCAGGGCTTGGTATGATGGCTCAATTGGTTAATCCTTGCCTTGTAAGCTCCAGGATCCCAAATGAGTCATGGTTCCTGTCCCGGCTCCTCCTCTTCCCATCCAGCTCCCTACCTGTGGCCTGGGAAAGCAGTGGAGGATGGCCCAAGGCCTTGAGACACTGCACCCATGTGGGAGACTCAGAAGAAGCTCCTGGCTTCACATCAGCTCAGCTCCAGCCACTGTGGCCACTTGGGGAGTAAACCAGTTGATGGAAGGTCTTTCTGTAGATCTACCTTTCCAATAAAAAAATTTTTAAAAGAAAAGTAACTTGCAGACTTACATTTTACCACTAAGTAGTCATTTTCTAAAATCATCATTCTCTTGTGTTAGCATTGTTCCATTATCACAACTGAGAAAGATTTTACGGAGAGGAGAGACAGAAAGATCGTCTATCCTCTGGTTCACTCCCTAGGTGGCTGCAATGGCCAGAGTTGAGCTGATTTGAAACCAGGAGTCGGGAGCAGCTTCTGGGTCTCCCACGCTGGTGCAGGGTCCCAGGGCTTTGGGCCATGTTCCATACTTTTCCCAACACATAGCAGGGAGCTGGATGAGAAGGAGGTAGCCGGGATATGAACTAGAGCCCATATGGGATGCTGGTGCTTGTTCGTGGAGGATTAGCCAGTTGAGCTGTCACAATAGACCCTGGATTTTTTTTTTTTTAATATTTATTTGAAAGGCGGGGTTACAGAGAGAGGGGAGATAGATTTTCTGTCTATCTAGTGGTTCTCTCCCTAGATGGCTCCAGATGGGAGTGTGTCCAGGCAGAAGCCAGGAGCTTCCTCTGAGTCTTTCATGTGGGTGCAGGGGCCCAGGAACTTGTGTTTTTTTCTGTTGCTTTCCCAGGAACAGCAACAGAGAGCTGGATCAGAGACGGAGCTGCTGGGAATGAATCGGCGCTCATTTGGGGTATCAGCATTGCTGATAAGCCACAATGATGGCTCTGACACTGGGAAAAAAATTTCTCTGTCTTCCAAGTGCCTTTCTCTGTGTATGTTTTTAAGAATTGATTTATTTGAGGGCCCAGTGGCATGGCCTAACAGCTAAAAAGTCTGTGCCTTGCATGCGCCGGGATCCCATGTGGGCTCTGGTTCTAATCCCAGCAGCCCTGTTTCCTATCCAGCTCCCTGCTTGTGGCCTGGGAAAGCAGTCGAGGACGGCCCAAGATCTTGGGACCCTGCACTCATGTGGGAGACCCGGAAGAGCTCCTGGCTTCAGATTGGCTCAGCTCCAGCCGTTGTGGTCACTTAGGGAGTGAACCATCGGACGGAAGATCTTCCTGTCTCGCCTCTATATATATCTGACTTTGCAATAAATATAAATAAATCTTTTAAAAAATAAACAAATCTTTAAAAAAAAGAATTGATTTAAATTGATTTATTTGAAAGGCATAGCTAGGGACAAACAGACCTTCCATCTGCTGATTCATTCCCCCAGTGACTGAGGAAGCCAGCACCTTTCGAGGTCAAAGCCAGGAGTCTGGAACTCCTACTGGGCCTCATGTGGGTAGCAGGGGCCAAGAATTTGGGCCATTCTCTGCTGCTTTCTCAGGCATATTAGCAGGAAGCTGGGTTGGAAAAAGAACAGAGAGAAGCCTGGCGCAGTGGCCTAGCGGCTAAAGTCCTCGCCTTGAAAGCACCAGGATCCCAAGTGGGCACCGGTTCTAATCCCGGCAGCTCCACTTCCACGCAGCTCCCTGCTTGTGGCCTGGGAAAGCAGTGGAGGACGGCCCAAAGCCTTGGGACCCTGCACCCGTGTGGGAGACCTGAGGAGGTTTCTGGCTCCTGGCTTTGGATTGGTGCAGCACCGGCCATTGCGGTCATTTGAGGAGTGAATCATCAGACAGAAGATCTTCTTCTCTGTCTTTCCTCCTCTCTGTATATCTACCTTTCCAATAAACATAAAATAAATCTTTATAAAAGGAACAGACAGGACTTTTGGAGTTCATAATGGGATACCATTGTCTTGTGCAGTGGCTTAACCTTTTACACCACAATGCTGGACCTCCGCTTTTTAAGATTTCATTTTTATCTAGAAGGCAAGGTTACAGAGAGAAGGAAAAAGACACACACACACCTTCCTTCTCTCCCTCCCTTCTGCTGGTTCACTCTCTTAATAGCCACAGTGTCCAGAGCTGAGCCGATATGAAACCTACACCCAGGAGCCCCTTCCAGGTCTTCTACACCGGTGCAGGGTCCCAAGGCTTTGGGCCGTCCTCCACTGCTTTCCCAGGCCACAAGCAGAAGTACTGGTACTTGAACCAGAGCCTATGTAGGATGGCAGAGCCACAGGCTGAAGTTTAGCCTACTGTGTCTCCGTGCCAACCCCCTTATTTTGTTTCACATTTTCAAATCAAACTATAGAGTTTTGTGTCTTGCTGTTTCATCTCTTTGGCATTTACCTAGGGCATTGGCGGTTGTAGAACAACTTGCTCTGTTAATGCAACATTTTCTTAGATGGTGTTCTAGTGTCTGGTTGTTGTAAGTCATAACGACAAGGAACTGTTTCTCCTGAGGATTTGACCCAGAGTTTTGGTCAAGTTCAGTGTGTGGGGGCAAAAGAATGTTCTGCGTCCCCGTTAATGTAAGCCCTGAGTGGCCAGGGGACATTGCTGTCCCCCTCGCTGTCTCTTTTGAACCGTGTCCTCTCCATTTCTTGCTGACCTTTCCCTTTGGCTTTGCTCCTTTCTCCCTCAGGTAAGTCAAACCTCATGGATGCTATCAGCTTCGTGCTGGGTGAGAAAACTAGCAACCTGCGGGTGAAGACCCTCCGGGACCTGATCCATGGCGCTCCTGTGGGCAAGCCGGCTGCCAACCGGGCCTTTGTCAGCATGGTGTACTCCGAGGACGGGGCTGAGGACCGCACCTTTGCCCGGGTCATTGTAGGTGGGTGAGGCTGGCCAGGAGGCTCTCTTCTTGGTAGATGGCTGGACTAGTTGACAGGGACAGAAGACCGTTGCTGACAGTCCCTTGTGTTGTCTTGTAGGGGGTTCTTCTGAGTACAAGATCAACAACAAAGTTGTTCAGCTGCATGAGTATAGCGAGGAATTAGAGAAGTTAGGTATTCTCATCAAAGCGCGCAACTTCCTCGTCTTCCAGGTAGGCATTTGGATCTGTTTCTGCCTGTCTGTTTTGTCAGCCCGTATCGAGCCCCGCTGAGCCTGCTCCATCTCAGGCCGCATGCTCATGTCTCCCTTGAATAGCGCTGTCTCTCCCCAGCCTGTCCCCCTTCGGCTCAGCCCATAGGCCCGGTGTGTGTCCTTATAACACGACCTTCTCTCCATAAAGCGTTTCACTCATTCCTTGTGACTTGTGATAGTGATTCTCCAATTATGGGCTCCAGATGGGCACTATGAGCATCACGTGGAACATGCTAGAAATATCCCCTCAGGCCCCATCCCGGTGCCTGCCAAGGACGACTGAAGATGTGTACAGTACTCTGTTTTAGCAAGTCCTCCAGGTCATCGTGATGCCTGCTGACATCTGACAGCTATTGACTTATGATGAGAAGCTGAACTTTTACCCGTGTATTCAGAAAGCACCATCATTTGGCTGGGCCTGCACCTTACTGTCCCTGTCTGCCGGCACGCTTCCTGCAGCCTGTTTCAGCCATTCACGCAGCCCCAAACTCCTGTGCTTCCTGTGGCCTGCAGGCTTTTGCTTACTAATTATCCTCTATCTGGAGGAACCATTCTCTCATTTTCTTGGTTAATTTTTTGTCCATCTTCCAAACTCAGCTTAGATGTCACCTTTGGGGAGCCTTCCCAGATAAGCACAGGTACCCACTCCCGTGTCCCCAAGCTTCATTGAGTCCTTCTGTGCTGATTCTGCCGCTGCACAGGAGATGCTCTATTCTCTCTGTATCCATTGCTTCTACTCCCTTGTCTTCAGAAGGCAAAGAACGTGTCCTCAAGGCAGTGCAAAATGTGGTCCTCTAGTGTGTGTGTGTGTGTGAGAAAGAGAGAGAGCGAGCCTTTTTTGAATGGGTGAGTGGGTAGGGGGAACCGTGCTGGAGTCTCAGTGGGAGAATGCTTTGGCCTTTACCAGGGTGCTGTGGAATCTATTGCCATGAAGAACCCCAAAGAGAGGACAGCTCTGTTTGAAGAGATCAGTCGCTCGGGAGAGTTGGCCCAGGAGTATGATAAGCGAAAAAAGGAAATGGTGAAAGCTGAAGAGGACACACAGTTTAATTACCATCGCAAGAAAAACATCGCAGCCGAACGCAAGGAAGCCAAACAGGAGAAAGAGGAGGTGAGTGGCTTGCCTGCCTGCCGGCCTAGCCGCTGGCTCCGAGGGGCCCAGGGCCGGGCCAGCACCTGACTAACCCGTTCTGGCCTGCCTAGGCTGACCGCTACCAGCGCCTGAAGGATGAGGTGGTGCGAGCACAGGTGCAGCTGCAACTCTTTAAGCTGTACCATAACCAAGTGGAGATCGAGAAGCTCAACAAGGAGTTGGGCTCCAAGAACAAAGAGATCGAGAAGGACAAGAAGCGGATGGACAAAGTGGAGGATGAACTGAAGGAGAAGAAGAAGGAGCTGGGCAAGATGATGCGGGAGCAGCAGCAGATCGAAAAGGAGATCAAGTAAGAGGCAGCCCTCCGCCCGCCACGTGGCGGCAAGGAAGCGGCTGCACTGCCCCCCAGCGGAGCCCGCAGGGCAGTGCTAGCTCGTGTTCCCCTGGATTGGCTAGGACCAGAACCAGGCACATTGCTTCTTTTCTTTCTTCCCCTCCCCCCCGCCCCCTTTTTAGATTTGTTTTTATTTGAAAGTCAGATTTATGTAGAGAAGGAGAGGCGAAGATCTATCAGTTTGTTCACTCCCCAAATGCCCAGTGGCTAGAGGTGAACTGACCAGGAGCCAGGAGCTTCTTCTGGGCCTCCCACATGGGTGCAGGGTCCCAAGGACTTAGGCCATCCTCCATTGCTTTCTCAGGCCACAAGCAGGGAGCTGGATAGGAATTGGAGCAGGCTGTCCACAAATCAGTGCCCATATGAGATGCCAGCGCTGGGAGACAGGGTTAACCTGTTGAACTGCCATGGTCATGGCCCCTCGGGCACATTTCTTGACTTGCATTTTAGACAAATAGTATGTTTAGTCCTCAGGTAGATTCTCAGAAGAGGGAGAACTTGAAAGGGGTGGTGGCCTCGCCAGATTAAAGGAAGGTATAGGAGGCCCAGCCATTGTAGGAAATAGAAAAGCTGAAGCTGAAAGTTAAAAGGATGAGGTGGCGGCATTTAAATCACTGTTTTCCTTGTTGACTAAAGTAGGTGCAGGTTTTGAGGTGGTTAGATCAGATGGGCACAACTCAGCCATCACAGGGTGTTTCTAGGAGTTGTTGATGAGGGGCCTGGCCTGATGGGTTGAGGCAGGGATGGAAGCTTGCCTTTGGGAAATGGCTGGAATGGCAGGCTGAAGCCTCAGGTTCCAGGCAGTAGCCAGATTACGGCCTTTTTGAAGCTCTATGTGGCGTTGGGCCCTTTTTCATGCAGGCAGTTCGCTGAAGCTGGCTGGAGGCCGAGACGCCCTTTGTTTGGATAAGACGCCCAAGGCGCCTCTCTTACACAGTAACTGCTTGTGCTTCCCTCCCCCACCCTCTTCCCATCGTTCCTGGCAAAAGGGAGAAGGACTCAGAGCTGAACCAGAAGCGTCCTCAGTACATCAAAGCCAAGGAGAACACCTCCCACAAAATCAAGAAGCTCGAGGCAGCCAAAAAGTCTCTGCAGAATGCTCAGAAGCATTACAAGAAGCGCAAAGGTGACATGGATGAGCTGGAGAAGGAGATGCTGTCAGTGGAGAAGGCCCGGCAGGAGTTCGAGGAACGCATGGAAGAGGAGAGTCAGAGTCAGGGCAGAGATCTGACGCTGGAGGAGAATCAGGTGAGCCCCGGAAGGGGTTGGTGGGGAGGAGGGTGCAGGGCTGACGTGGCATTCCATCCTTTTACTGTTCCCGACACAGGTGAAGAAGTACCACCGGTTGAAAGAGGAAGCCAGCAAAAGAGCAGCAACCTTGGCCCAAGAGTTGGAGAAGTTTAACCGAGACCAGAAAGCTGATCAGGACCGGCTAGATCTGGAAGAGCGGAAGAAAGTGGAGACAGAGGTGGGCATCATGAGCTGTCGCATTAGGGTTGCTGGGCCCGGGGGAAGGAGGTAGCGGCAATGTGAATGACAGAATAGTTGGCACCTGTTGAGCACTTAACCTGTGTGCTAGCCACTGTTTCGTTTGCGCTTTCGTTTAAGTCTTCATTTGTGATTGCCATTACGGGTGGCTCCTGCCAGCCTCCTCTTCCAAATGATGGAACTGCAGCACAGAAGTGAGAGAATGACCGTGACAGGAACTTGTTATAATCCCCTGAGGACTTACAGTGGTGTAGGCCTTCTGCTGAGTATTTCTTTTCCTTGTTTAAAAGAACAGGGAAGGAATTGGTGTTCACGCCTTCCCTGTACTAAGCACAGGTCTTGGGGGATGTGGAGATGGCCCGCATTTGACAGGTGAGGACGCAGGAGCAGAAAGGCCTGCGCAGCTTGACTCCGCCTTGATCTGGGCCTCTTCCATAAGGAGTGCTACAGCCTTGGGAGGTGCCCCGGCTGCCAGGAGACACAGGGAATGCTGTCTGTGTGTCTGCTTTGGAGTCAGCCTCCTGCAATAGGAGCATATGTTACACTGTTGAGTTCTCGGCGCATAGGGGCCCCGTGGTCTTCGTGTTGACTTGGTCAGCTCCTGGAGATGAAATCTGTTTGATTCCCAGGCCAAGATTAAGCAGAAGCTGCGAGAGATTGAAGAGAATCAGAAGCGGATTGAGAAATTGGAGGAATACATCACCACCAGCAAGTATGTGGCACAGATGCTTCTCCCTGCCCCCCGTCAGGCCTGTTGCCTTGGCCCTGCCTATGCTGCCAGTCTGCAGGCAGGACCCTCGGAGGCCCTCTGAGCCAGGAATATTGTCTGAGCAGCCAGGGTAACCGCTGGGTTCCTTCTCTTTCCCAGGCAGTCCCTAGAGGAGCAGAAGAAGCTGGAGGGGGAGCTGACAGAGGAGGTAGAAATGGCTAAGCGGCGCATCGATGAGATCAATAAGGAGCTGAACCAGGTGATGGAGCAGCTGGGGGACGCCCGCATCGACCGCCAGGAGAGCAGCCGGCAGCAGCGGAAGGCGGAGATCATGGAGAGCATCAAGCGCCTTTACCCTGGCTCTGTGGTAAGAGTGGCAAGGGAACTCACTCACGGTCATCCGATTGCCCCAGCAGCCCCGTGAAGGCAGGTTGGCTTATCTGTTTCTATAACTGGAGAAGCAGACTCAGAAATGTTAGATGGCTTGCCCAAAGCAGTATGGCTTAATAGCAGGGAGAACTGTAATTCAGATCCAACTTGTTGTGATTCAGTTTTTTTGTAAGATTTATTTACTTTTATTGGAAAGTGAAATACACAGAGAGGAGGAGACACAGATAGGAAAATCTTCTGTTTGCTGATTCACTCCCTAAGTGACTGCAACAGCTGGAGCGGAGCCGATCTGAAGCCAGTAGCCAGGAGCTTCTTCTGGGTCTCTCACATGGTTACAGAGACCCAAGGCTTTGGGCCATCCTCCACTGCTGTCCTAGGCCACAAGCAGGGAGCTGGATGGGAAGTGGGGCTGCCAGGAAATGAACAGGTACCCATATAGGATCCTGGTACATGCAAGGCCAGGACTTTCGCCACTAGGCTACTGCACCGGGCCCCACATTATACGGTTTCGTACGTATAGTTCTCCCCCCTCCCCCCCCTTTTTTTTTAAAGATTTATTTTATCTTTATTACAAAGTCAGATAAACAGAGAGGAGGAGAGCCAGAGAGGAAGATCTTCCGTCCGATGATTCACTCCCCAAGTGAACGCAACGGCCGATGCTATACCGATCCGAAGCCAGGAGCCTGGAACTTCCTCCGGGTCTCCCACGTGGGTGCAGGGTCTCATGGCTTTGGGCCGTCCTCGACTGCTTTTCCAGGCCACAGGCAGGGAGCTGGATGGGAAGTGGAGCTGCCGGGATTAGAACCAGTGCCCACATGGGATCCTGGTGCTTTCAAGGCGAGGACTTTAGCCGCTAGGCCATGCTGCCAGGCCCTCCTCCTTTTTCTTTCTCCCCTTTTTGCCCTCCCCACTGTAACCTGTATTTTATAGTAACATAGTCCTTTAGCTGCAGTCACAATTCCAACATTTTGCTATTTATGTAACAGTATGTAACACACACATACACATGTTATAAATAGCATGTAACAGTATATAAGATATATGGGATCATGTCTGTCACCAAGCTGTTGCAGGTGTCCCCAGTTCTGACACTATGCGTGGGGATAGCCTAAGGTCCCAGTGTTACAAGACTACTTCAGGCGGAGTCACAAGGTTGTGGCTTGTGTTTTGCCCATCTGGTGTAAGTTATGGAGCCCATGATCCCCACTTGAGCTAGTGAATTTGCTAGAGTACCTCAGCCAGGAAATTCTTCACTTAGATCTGTTCATTTATTATTATGTATATTTAAGATTTATTTTTGTTTGGAAGAGAGTGGAAAAAGTCTTTCGTCCACTGGTTCACTCTCCAGATGGTTGCACTGGACAGCAACCAAGAGCTTTTCCCGAGTGTCGCACATGGGTGCAGGGGTGTCTCCCAGATGCAGTAGTTGGGAGCAGGGTCGGAAGAGGAGCAGATTGGAGTTGAATCGGCACCTATAAGCAATGCCAGTGTTGCAAGTGGCCACTTGAACTGCTATGCCATAGTGCTGGCCCTTGTCTGTTATATAAAGTGTAACGGTAGAGAGCAGTAGCTAGGTGGAAGAGATGATACAGGGCAAGGCAGGAGAGAAGTGTGGCACTTGCATGCTCTCTTTGAGTAAACTTCCCTCCAGGCATCCTCCCATGATGGCCTATCTACAAGTTCCTCAAACCTAGTCCTTTTGGATTGTGTATGAATGTTTTATTAAATAGGCATGGTTTATCAGATCATTGGCTACTGCTTATCAGCTTAATCTTTGCCCCGCCCCTTCCCCACTCAGGGATTGAGGTTGGGACTCAAAGTCCTACCCTTTTGGTCATCTTTAGTCTTTGTGGTGACAAACTTCCAACTTTCTAGAAGCTACCAGTCATCTGCTTATCAGACAAGACCCTGTTTGCCTCAGAGACTGCAGGGTTTTAAGAGCGCTGCAGTCTCCAGGAACTGCAGTCAAGACCAGAGAATATATTAAGTCACAAGAGAGTGCTTCATTACCGGGGGCCTGTTAGTCATTAGTAATACATCTCCCAGCGTGAGGTTTGCAGGCTTCTGTTCCACCATCTCAGCCCACTCTGAGCTTTCACCTTCCAGTTTCAAGTATGATTGAGCCTAGATACTATAATCTGTTACTCTTGAGGTATTCTTGTAACACTTCCCTTACTACACAGACCATTATTTCAGCCCTTTGTCTTCTCTTATCCTGATTTTTTTTATTTTGCCTGTGGCAAGGGCACCAGGATTAGCTGCCGTGCTTGGCTGGGTCGCAGGCAGCACTCCAAGTCTGGCCAGTGCAGCCCGCTCCCATTTGCAAAGATAAACTTACAGAGTTGCAGGACTAGTGGGCAGTCTCAACCATTAGGTACTGCCAGCCAAATGCCCTGTTTACAATAGAAATTCTAGGGCCTGATGCAGCGGTTTGATTGACTAATTCTCCTTTAAGTGCCAGGACCCTATATTGGCACTGGTTTGTATCCTGGCTGCTCCACTTCCCATCCAGCTCCCTGCTTGTGGCCTGGGAAAGCAGTCAAGTTGAGGACGGCCCAAAGCCTTGGGACCCTGCACTTGTATTGGAGATCTACAGGAAGCTCCTGGCTTCGGCTCAGGTCAGTTCTGAGCATTGCCTCCACCTGGGGAGTGAATCAGCAGATCTTTCTCTCTCTCTCTCTCCTTTCCATAGATCTGCCTTTCCAAGAAAAACAAATAGATCTCTTAAAAAAAAATTCTAGCTTGCACTTCTTTCCAAGTTGGCAAATAAAGATTTATTTATTTTTATTGGAAAGTCAGATATACAGAAAGGAGGAGAGACAGAGGAAGATCTTCCGTTCAATGGTTCACTCCCCAAGTGGCTGCAGCGGCTAGAGCTGTGCTCATCCGAAGCCAGGAGCCTCTTCCGGGTCTCCCATGTGGGCTGTTGGGATACAAACCTGCTCCCATACAGGTGGTGCACTCAAGGCGAGGACTTTAACTGCTGTGCTATTGCGCAGGGCCCCTCATACTTCAGTTTTGCCTTTCTCCATTGCTCAGTACGGCCGCCTCATTGACCTCTGTCAGCCCACACAAAAGAAGTATCAGATTGCTGTGACAAAAGTTTTAGGCAAGAACATGGATGCCATTATTGTCGACTCAGAGAAGACGGGCCGGGACTGCATCCAGTATATCAAGGAGCAGCGTGGGGAGCCTGAGACCTTCCTGCCTCTTGACTACCTGGAGGTGAGGCTGCCGGGGAAGGGGTTGGGTCAGGGTGGTCTTTGAGAGCCCCTCCTCTGAGCCCTCCGAGTCCTGCCACTGACCGAGCTGCTTCCAACAGGTGAAACCAACAGACGAGAAGCTCCGGGAGCTGAAGGGGGCCAAGCTAGTGATTGATGTGATTCGCTACGAGCCACCTCATATCAAAAAGGCCCTGCAGTATGCTTGTGGGAATGCCCTGGTCTGTGACAATGTGGAGGACGCCCGTCGTATTGCCTTTGGAGGTCACCAGCGCCACAAGGTGTGAAGTCCCTTCCCCAGGTGGGAGGGGGCAGGCTCAATCCAGAAAGGTTCCTGTGCTCAGCTTCAACCCTTCCGTCTCTGTTCTCCCTTTGATTTACAGACAGTGGCACTGGATGGGACCCTGTTCCAGAAGTCAGGAGTGATCTCCGGTGGGGCCAGTGACCTGAAGGCCAAGGCACGGCGCTGGGATGAGAAAGCAGTTGATAAGTTGAAAGAGAAGAAAGAGCGGTTGACGGAAGAGCTAAAAGTAAGCCCCAGGCAGTGCTGGTTCCTAGAGCAGGGAGCCTCCAGCCCGTGTTGCCTACCTTCTTACCACCTAGCCCCCCTTCTTTCCTATCTTCTTCAGGAGCAAATGAAGGCAAAGCGGAAAGAGGCAGAGCTGCGTCAGGTGCAGTCCCAGGCCCATGGATTGCAGATGCGACTCAAATACTCCCAGAGTGACCTGGAGCAGACCAAGACACGCCACCTGGCCCTGAATCTGCAGGTGCGATCTGCCTCCCAGCCCTGGCCTCTGGGAGCCGCCCTCCTGTTCCTGGCCTAGGTTTTTCTAGGGATAGAGAGCTTGTTGCACTTCCCCTTCTCCTCCCAGCCTGCCCCAGGAACCAGGCCCAGCACAGACACAGCCAGCCAGGGGTTAAGATTGTGGTCTGCCATGTGTGTGACGTTAAGGAAGTTGTTTCTCAGATGCAGCTTTCTCGTCTCTGTAAAGTGGGAGGTGGAATAGTCCCTATTTTTATATGGTCATTGTGATATGAAGTGCTTACACTAGTAGGTGTTAACTACATGGGAGATTGCTATTATTAGCATCCTTCATTCATTCATTCAACAAATATTTGAGCTTCTGAAAGTGAATTGTAGGCATATCGGTCCTTTTGGGTAGATATGCTCTTCAAAGCAACGAATTCTCTTTCCTTATGTGGTGCCTCCCCAGAGCATCCTGGAGGGTCTAAGTACTATGTAACATGTAAATTATTTTACCTTTCTCTATATGCAAACATCCTGAAACATATCTGGCCCCAGGCACTAGAGCTAAGGGATTCTTGACCTATGAATAGTGATGTGATGTGTGCCCAGTGTGCGGATTGAAGGACCTGGCAGGACGCCTTGTGGTGGTTCCAGCAAGAGGTGGTGGACACTTGACGAGGGCAGTGGCACTTGGCCAGGTTCTCTGTGTGGAAGAGCGGTGAACTTGGCCAGGTTCACCTTCCCGAAGGTGGAGTCGATGCATTTGGGGTAGCCCTTTTCCTCCAAGCAGCTTGGTCTCTTTTGTCCTCAACCCGTTACCTATAGGAAAAGTCCAAGTTGGAAAGTGAGCTAGCTAACTTTGGGCCTCGAATTAATGATATCAAGAGGATCATCCAGAGCCGGGAGAGAGAAATGAAAGACTTGAAGGAGAAGATGAACCAGGTTGGTAGGGGATGGAGCCATGCCAGTCTGGGCACCTGGGTGGGATGAAGGTTGGAAACAGGAGTGTCTGAAAACACCTCTGCTCTCCCTGGCATCTCTCCTCAGGTGGAGGATGAAGTATTTGAAGAGTTTTGTCGGGAGATTGGTGTGCGCAATATCCGGGAATTCGAGGAAGAGAAGGTGAAACGGCAGAATGAAATCGCCAAGAAGCGGTAGGTGGGAATGTTGCAGATGTCCAGGTGCCCTTCGGCCCCGGCCCTGCCCCTCAAGCCTGATGTTTTTGCTGACGTAAGGCAAAGAGCAGCTCTATGCTGATGGAATCTATTATAGGAGGTAAGCCTTGGAGAGCAGGGAAATCGGGATGGTGGTATGGCGTAGTATAGTGAGTTAAGAGCCAGCTTGAAGCTTGGTTTACCTGAATTAAAATCTCAGTCCCAGGACTTGTTCTTTTGATCTTTGTAAGCTGTAGTTTTGTCAAGTGGGATAATAGACCAATCTTGTGGCATCTTGGGAAGGATCAGATGAAATAATCCATGAAGTATTTAGCATAATAATGAGCACCTACTAGGAGCAATGAATTGTTTGATTGTCATTATTCCTAATGGCAATGCTGGGGATGGGGACTGAGGGGGAGGTTGGAGGAAAGAAATTCTAGGTTGGAAGAACAGCTAGAACTGACAAGCTTCACTGTTCTTCCTTGCTTTGGTTTGTTTATTCATTCCTTCAGTAAGCCAGTGTGAAATGCCTTGTGCCAGGTTGGAGCTTGGTTTTGTGGGGGAAAGGAAGATGGGGTAGGGCAGAAACATCACCTGGTTTCTGCTGAGGCTGTCACCCCCTTGGCCCCCAGATCTGTGTCCTTTACCCGTATAGTAGATATTTCCTGTTCTCCTACTCCAAGCCAGGCTCAAGAGACGGAAGATTGAAGCAGGTTGGTTGTTTCCTCAGGGAATTTAGCCAAGTATTGGCGGAAAAGCAGTAGGGAAACAATTTCAGAGTACAGTGATGAACGGTGTAATTAGGGTAGCTAGGGAATACAGAGGAGAGATTTTGAAGGAACTACAAAGCAACAAGAGGAAAAATAAAAATGAGAAGGAGCCCAGTTTAAAAAAAAAAGTAGGCAGAGGATATAGCTCACATTTTATGGGGAGAAGCTTGAATGGGCAATAGTTGTTAGATATTTATGTTCAGTCTCTTCTTCTGAGGAATATGAACTAAACCTCCAGCAGAATGTGGTAAAAATAAGTACCTTTGTCCTGTGTGGTATGTGGATGTACATGGATTCTCGGTGTATATCCAAGAGTGTGTCTTGCCACAGGCTCGATAAAAAGGCATGTTCAAGATTGTTCCTCTTAGCATAATTTGTGGTAGTGGGATGTGGCTGACAGTGTAGTCATCAGTGGGAGGAAGTGTAGGTTAAACGTGATAAGCATGCAGGCTATGGAATTCTGGATAGCTATTCAAAGCAAGATCTAGATTTACAGGCAGTAACATGGATGAATTGTTACTTGGTATTTACTGGAAAAAGGAGTAAACGTTGTAATATTGTATGTTTATGTGAATTTTTGAAACAATGGCATTTTACAAAATTGAGTGTGTGTGTGTCTGAGCGATGCTTTAGGGGATTTGCTCACGGTGGGGAAGGTAGTGGAGACAAGAATTGGGGGTTGAAACAGTGGGCAAGGCAGGGGTCTTGCACACATAGGGAAGAGTACAGTATGAGCTAGGGGGTATGATTGAACCCAGTTCTGCACCGAAAGTCCGAAAAAGGGGGAAACACACAGAGCAACAGAAACCAAGAACCTGCTCATAAGCCTCAGGAAAGGTTTTGGAGAACAAATGCTGGTGAATGGAGCCTGAAGAGTGAGTAGGATTTAACCAGCCGGGCAGTGACAGAAGAAGGGAGCTGCAGGCAGCACGAACAGCATGCTTGGAGGTGTGAGAGAGCATGCCTTGTTCTGGATACTAAGTAGTTTTTGAATGTCTGGAGCAGAAAAATGGGGTCAGGAGGAAGGCGGAGGCGGTGGAGAGGTCAGCAGGGGCCAGAGCAGAGGGCTTTATGAGTCACACTTAGGAGATTGGACTTAAAATTGCATAGCTCAAAATTACAGAGTTAATTACATTCCATTTGGATTATAGTGACTAATAGGTTTAAGCTGCTAGCATGACATCTGGCAGCAGCTGTCATACCATACTGGGAGGTGGAGGAGTATTTGGAAGTTAGCCCTGCCTGGCCTACTGGTGTTTGTGAACACTGGTTATATACCCTGCATTTCTGAAGAAATGAGGAGGAAGATGATAGCAAGAAGCTAGTATTTTTCCCATTTTTTTCCTACCCTCCAACCTTGGCCCCTTTAAGAGGTTCTGCAGTCTTGAGATGCAGCAAGCTTTTGGGCAAAGATGAGTTGAATACAGGAAATAGACCTGGTGGAGAACTATAATTTACTGAGTACTTCATGTGCTTCATGTGTAGCACCCAAGGTGGTAAGAAGTTTATACAAATTGACTTGTGTTTAAAAAAAAGTCTTCCGATAACTCAGCAATGAGTACTCTAATATTTCTGCGGCTTGGAGAAGATGAGTAACTTGCCTGAGATCACAGTACTGATCCGTGGCAGTGTCGGGAGACCAATCTCGACTCATTCTCGTACAGCGCACTGATGAGGTATGAAGAAAACCTAGATTTGGGTGTTACACAGATGCAGGTTCTGATCTCACACAGGCCACTTACTAGGACCTTGGGCAAGGCCTTTTTACCTTTTGGCCTGACTTCCTTCATTTGTAAACTTAGCAGTCATGCCTACTTGCGGGGCTCTTGATGAAAGGATGTTATATGTGCGTAGAAGCTGAATACAGAGCACTTATAGCTGGTGAGTCCAGGTGGACCATTTCATGCCTCCTAAGAACTTGTAAGGGCGCCCCACTCAGTGATGTTTAAAGGGGTTTAGCCCAACCTCCCCGGCCTGTGTCGTGTCCACAAGGCTGAGGAACTTCGCCCTCTGACCTCAGGGAAGGGTTTTAGGTCGTGGGTATACGCGAGCCAGGTGGTGGCTGGAAATCAGGAGTCTCTCTGGTGTCCTGAGCTCTGGGCCTGATTTCCCTTTCTCACCCACAGATTGGAGTTTGAGAATCAGAAGACTCGCCTGGGCATCCAGCTGGATTTTGAAAAGAACCAACTAAAGGAGGACCAGGATAAAGTACACATGTGGGAACAGACAGTGAAAAAGGATGAAAATGAAATTGAGAAACTGAAGAAGGTAAGGAAGGAGAAAGTTGAAATGCATACAACCAGGAGGGAAGAAATTCAAAGAAATATGATGAACAAAAGGATAGCGTTCATCATTTATAATTTTTCCAAGAAAAATACCAAGATCTAAATAGGTGGGTCAGCAGCATATGCAGTTCTGGAAGAGTTGCAAATAGCCCACAAGTATGTAAATAATTTAGCCTTAGTGGAAATTAAAGAAATGCAAATTGAAGCAACAATCACATGTGATTTGCTTACTGTCACATCACCCAAGATTTAAAAACAGAAAAAAGGCAATTCTCACCAGCAACTTCAGCACGGGAGACTTCAGGACATGTAGCAGCCTTCTCCCCCAGTGTTACCTGAGGAGATAATCCAGAATGCTGGCAAAGCTTAGTGTGAACAGTTTGATGTTTATTACAAGCATTATTTATAGTTCCAAATTGGAAAATATCCAGTGCCCTTGGCAAGTAGGAGTTTTGAAAAGCTCATTACATTCATATTAGTATCTGTGTAGTTTAGTGATCTTCAGTGTTCAGTAATACACAGACCCCTCTTTAAAAGGAAAACCATTTCTTAAACTCTGCAGTGTTGGCTTAAATCCTTGATGGTACTTAAATACATACAAACATATATACTTAGCACATTTAACCACAAACCGGGATAAACTTAGAAATTAAATACAAGCAAATGGGGTGGGTGTTTGGCATAACTGTTGAACACACCGCTTGGGAGGCCTATATCCCATTTCAGAGTGCTTGGGTTCTTTCTAATCCTGGCTCTGCTCCCGATCTACAATTCCTGCTAATGTACACCTTAGAGGCAGCAGGTGATGGCTTAGCGGCCAGGCCTCTGTCACCCACACAGGAAACCGAGGAGCCCAGCTCCTGCCCCTGGCCTTTCCAAAGGCGTGATCTGTCAGGAAAGGGTGACCTCTCTGTCTTCTTTCTACCTTTAAAATTAAATTATGTATGTGTATTTTAGACAGATAGATGCTAACAGGTGAGATTCAGATTAACTACGTAAATTCAGTGCAGCAGATGCGAACGTTTTTCTGCAATCCAGTCACTGCACAGCTAGGTTCCTTTGAATTTAGCTTTCCTGTGCCGGCTTGTAGTGTATGTGATGACTCAGTTTTCTTACTTTCTTTAGATTACTTTGAAATCTCTTCCCTAAAGCATTCAGTTAGTAGGTGACTTGCTCTTCCCTTGATTTGAACTGAACTGGTGGCTGTCATTTGATTGTTGTGTGTGCCTTTATTTGTTGCCTGTTTGTGTCTTTTCTTCATTAGCCCCTGATTACATAGTCAATCGTATGTATGAAAAATGGGTTTTAAAACTGTAGATTGAATCAGCTACAGATGGAAAGTAGTTAGGACTATGGTGTCCGTATCTTCACTGAAGTACATACAGACTGTTTTCCTATTCCCTAAATTGGATAGCATTTGCATTTTATTGGATATTGTTAAGTTATCTAGGGATGATTTAAAGTGGGTGAGGAGCATCCTACCCACAAGCCACAGAAGGCTCATGGAGTAATTTGGTCTGGCCCTGCTGAGGCAACTACTGTGGGACTTAATTCACTAAATCGATCCAGTTTTAAGTTGATAATTTTGTATGACCTGGAATAAAATCCACATGGCCCTTGGAAGAAAAAAGGTTCCCCACTGCTGGTGAAGTATACCAGAGGTGAGAAAGACTAACATCACAGCTTATGGTACCTGCAAAGTTCTGAACTGATCTCCCACGAGTACCTCCGGACGACCATCGTCCTCTTCGGTAGTTGTTTTTTGGTTTTGTTTATTTGTTTAATGTCTTTATTTGCAAAGCCAGGAGAAAGAGAAAGAGAGCTTTCACCTGTTGGTTCACTTCCTACATTCCTGGGTTATAGCCAGGAAGCAGGAACCAAGTCCAGGTCTCCAGGGTGGATCAATTGAGCCGTCTGGCTGCCCCCTGGATCTGCAGCAGCACGAAGCTGGTAGCAGGAGTCGGAGGCAGATGCTGAACTCAGGGCTCTGATAGAAGATGCAGGCATCTCAAAGTGCTTGGCCAAACTGTCCAGCCTGGTTTTACTGGTCTCCTCGATGGAAGTAGCAACTGGGCAGTGAAATCCTGCGTTAGTTTCTGGCATAGTAGAGTCACAAGAACAGTGCAGAGAATTTCCCTGCTCATCACCAAGATGCATCGAGGTGTTACCACATTTGCTTTTGCACTGCTTCACATGCTATTTTTTAGGAGCCACTTGAGATTAAATTGCAGATATATCTCCTTTCTGTGATTTTTTTAAGATCACAAGGAAAATGCAGATTCTCCTTTAAAAAAAATCTGAATATTACAAGTAAGGCTACAGTCCTTTTCTGACTGACCATTCTCCACCCAACGCCTTTTAGTTTTCCCAGAGGCAATCTCAGGTCAGCATGTATTCTTCTAGAACTTCTGTAAGTTTGCTTAAGCACTTGCACACTCATATATGTGTTCTCAAAGAAAACATACAGTGTTGTTTGGGTTTTTATAAAAGACAAATGTTACACTGCACATGGCAGGAAGTTTTGGTGTAGAAAATGTTGAAATGTAACATTAAGTCAGAATATGGAGATTTAATTGCAATCTAGTCTCAACTATGTAAAGCTCTCTATAAATAATGCTGGGAGGAAATAAATTCTAGAATGCTAATTAGTTCTCTTTGGCTGGTGGGATTACAAGTGATTTCTTCCCCCACCCCACCCTCATACTTTCTCTACACTCCGAGCTTTTTTGCAGAAGGCAACCTTATGGCTGGGAGGTGGGGAAGAGGGCTACTAAGTAAATTAGGAAGAGATTAAAGAGTGATGGGGCACGCAGCGGCACCCACAGATTGCCTGGCAGGGTGGGGGCAGGAGAAGCAGCTTGCAGGGAAGATGAGGGAAGCCCTCACCTTGGCCTGTTGCTCCTCGTGGCCCCAGGAGGAACAGAGACACATGAAGATCATAGATGAGACCATGGCCCAGCTACAGGACCTGAAGAATCAGCACCTGGCCAAGAAGTCTGAAGTGAATGACAAAAATCACGAGATGGAGGAGATTCGTAAGAAACTCGGGGGCGCCAACAAGTGAGTGCATTCAGGCCTGGGCTGGGAGGAAGGAGGTAGAGCAGACGGCCTGCCAGATAGGGGTCTCACCCGGCTCCCACGGCCCTTTTAGGGAAATGACTCATTTGCAAAAGGAGGTGACAGCCATTGAGACCAAGCTGGAGCAGAAGCGCAGCGACCGCCACAACTTGCTGCAGGCCTGCAAGATGCAGGACATCAAGCTGCCGCTGTCCAAGGGCACCATGGACGATATCAGCCAGGAAGAGGTGCGTACTGCGGCTGGCACTGGGCGCGAGCAGCACTGGTCTGGGATGCTAGGTGATGTTGACGGGGAGTGGAAGGTGGGCAGAGGGTGGTGAGGACGAGCAAGGCATGCAGGAGAGGTGAGGCAAGGTGAGCTGAGAGAGCAGCCTTGGTGTGAGAGGGAAGTCCACTTGGAGTAGAGCCCCAGTGGGAGGGGACAGAGGGAAGGATGACTGTGTCATTAACCTGAGGGACTGGAGCCGCGGAAGCTCCGCAGGTGGCAGGCTGACATGGAGACGAGTGAGAGCTGAGGGACAGGAGCCAAGAGCAGACCGAGTTGGGAAATGGGCACCTGGGGAATGAGAGCTTTGCTGCAGGAAGGGAGGTGGGCCAGGAGTGGGTTGGGCAAGGGACGCCAGCAGCACGGAGGTGAAGGAGTTCCCACGCCAGCCAGCGGGGGAATCCAGGCGGCAGAGCCTGGGCGCAAGGGGCTGGGGAGTGTTGATCCAGAGGCTTTTGGCGTGCAGCCTGTTTTTGAATAGCAGAAATCTTCTGGGCATCCAAGTGGCCTGTAGTATAATTACATCTTTTCCTAGCCACAGCCCTGCCAGCCAGGGCCACACGTTACAGGGGAAGACACTCGGGGGTCTGGGAGTATGCGCTGTTAGTCGGTGGCGGTAAAGCCTGATTTTGAAGTTGGCTCTTCTTGCCCACAGCGTCTGGGTCACGGTGCTTTTCTGGCCTTCCTGTGGAGGGGGGCTGTCATGGCCAGTTTCCCTCATTTGACTCTCCGCTTGCCATTGCAGGGCAGCTCCCAGGGGGAGGATTCAGTGAGTGGCTCGCAGAGAACCTCCAGCATTTACGCACGAGAGGCCCTCATCGAGATCGACTATGGAGACCTGTGTGAGGACCTAAAGGTGAGGATCAGCCACGGGGGTGTGGCGGGGGGTGCCTCCTCGCTGTGCAGGGAGAGCCTCAGACTGTCCCGGAGCCCTGTGCACACCAGTGAGGGAGACCCGAGGTGAGAGTCCGGGTCTCTCGGTCATGTGAATACAAGGTCATACACATCTCCCGCCCACCACTTGCAGTTGCTCCTGTCCCTGCCAGGGGTCTCTCTGCCCCTTCCCTGAGTGTGTGTGTCTATCCAGATAATCCACCCAGAAACAGTCTCCTGGGCAACCAACAGCTTGCCTGTGCCCCCGGTCTGCTTTCCTCTGCGGCCTTCTCTCATCCTTTCCCCTCCCTGCCTGCGGCCGCCCCCTCTAGGCCAGGCCCCAGAGCTACCGGAAAGTGCACCCTTCCTCTCCAAATCTGCGCCTGCTCAGTGCCATCTCCTAGTGTGCTCAGCAAGACATCTGAGCATCTCCCTGATGCTCCTTTCTCTCTCACATCACATAGTCAATTAATGACCAAGCCCTATTGGTTGTCCCTCTGCTGTCTTTTGAATTCTGCTTTTTTTTCTTCTGTTTCTATAAAATTTGTAGCGGAGGTCATGTTCATCTCCCATAGATTCCTGCAGGAGCCTCCTAAACGGTTTCTAATGCTTTCCAACCCCTACTTTGTCATATGCATAGAAATGAGGAGACTCATAGAGTGGACCCAAAGCTCATCATCAACAGCATCTGGGCACCCAAGTGGCATGTGGTACAATAATCAGTCTTGTTTTTTTCAAGGTTTATTTATTTAGTTTTTGAAAGGTAGAGTCGGGCCTGGCGCGGTGGCGCAAGTGGTTAAGTCCTCGCCTTGCACGCCCGGGATCCCATAGGGGCGCCGGTTCTAATCCCGGCAGCCCCGCTTCCCTTCCAGCTCCCTGCCTGTGGCCTGGGAAAGCAGTCGAGGATGGCCCAAAGCTTTGGGACCCTGCACCCGTGTGGGAGGCCCAGAAGAGGCTCCTGGCTTCGGATCGGCATAGTATCGGCCCGTTGCGCTCACTTGGGGAGTGAATCATCGGACGGAGGATCTTCCTCTCTGTCTCTCCTCTCTGTATATCCGCCTTTCCAATGAAAAAATAATAAAAATAAATCTTTAAAAAAAAAAAAAAAAAAAAAAAAAAAAAAAAGAAAGGTAGAGTCACAGAGGCAGAGATCTTCCATCCTGTGTTTCACTACCCAAAGGGCCACAACTGCTGAAGCTAGACTGGCCCATCTGAAGCCAGGAGCTTCATCTGAATCTTCCATGTGGATGGGCACAGGATCCCATGCATTTGGCTCATCTTTTGCTGCTCTCTCAGACCACTGTCGGGGAGCTAGATTGGAGTGGAGTAGCTGGGACTCAAACAGGAGCCCATATGGGATGCTGGCATTGCAGGCAGCAGCTTAAACCCGCTGCACCACAACACTGGCCCCTAAATAATTTAATTGCTCTGAAGTATAATATACTGTTTGGTGAATGTTTAGATTTTCTTGAAGGGTATATAATTTTTAAAATTTATGTGTTTAAATCAGGATTCAAGTGAGGTCCATATGTTAAAATTGGTCCTTACTAGTCTGTGACAGTTTTCTGTCTCTTTTTATATTTTGCTTCCTATTTATTTATGGAAGAAATTGAGTCCTTGGTCCTGTACAATTGTCTACATTTTGGTTTTGGCTGATTATATCCCCATTACGTGGCTTAAAATATTTTTCCATTCCCCGATGGACAAATCACCAGTTTTTGATTGGAGTAAAGGTTTTTTTTTTTTTTTTAATAAAAATATAAGTAGTGCTGTGTGCATGTGAGCCTCCATTTGTATTGCATTAGTAGATATGTCGTTTCTCTCTGTGTGTAATGTTAGTATAGGTCCATATTCAGCATTACCTATGAAACATTCTTGCCAAAAACTCAGTCATGGATCTGATCAACCTACCAAAGGCACCGGTGACCGCTGTCCCTCCGTGTGCACAGGGGTCCGGATGGGGTTAGTTCCAGGACTCCTTTGGATATCGAAATCTGAGAATGCTCATGACATGCTATAAGGGGGAAATGGTGTCACATTTGCATATAACCTACATATTTTCTCCCATATACTTCAATAGCAGTGTAAATGCTATATAAATAATTGTTGGATGGTCTTTTTAAAAATCTGCTTATGTTCATTATAGATGCAATGTTTTCCCCAAATATTTCTACTGTTTTTACACTTCAATCCACTGATAGGAATCCCATGGATACGGAGAGCTAACATTTATAATAGGGGCATGTAGAAAGAAAAGCAGAGTTGTAGTTAGCCAAATCCAGGTGGTGTGTAACTCCAAAGGACCAAAGATCTGATTCCTTTCATAAATAAAAGAAAGAAAATAATAAAGAAAAAGGGGGGCTGATAAAGACTGAAACAGACCCATGAACCAAATGAAACTTGTGGCCCTTGAATGTCTTGTCCAGAAAAGAGAGAGAAGGAACTTACTCACTAAATGAGATATAAGAGATACAACCAGTTAGTAAGTGTGCACCTTATTTGGAGTGCTTTTGAAAACCTGTAATATGAAAGGAGGAGAGCCTGGTGCGGTGGCTCAATAGCTAAAGACCTTGCATTGCAAGTACCATGATCCCCACATGGGTACCAGTTTGTGTCCTGGGTGCTCCGCTTCCCTTCCAGCTCCCTGCTTGTTGACTGGGAAAGCAGTCGAGGACGGCCCAAAGCCTTGGTACCCTGCACCCACGTGGGAGACCTAGGGGGGCTCCTGGCTTCAGATTGGCTCAGCTCTGGCCATTGTTGGTCACTTGGGGAATGAAGCAGAAGACAGAAGTTCTTTCTCTCTGTCTCTTTTTCTCTCTGTAAATCTGACTTTCCAATAAAAATCAATCTTAAAAACATGCTATAAGGGGGCAGTTTGAACATTTACCAGATATTTAACTGATGTTGGGTAGTTACTGGTCAGTACTTTTAATTGTGACAATGTCTTTTAGAATCCTGGTCTTTTACAGCAGAGCTTCTGAATGGAAAGGTGGATATTTTGCTATTCAGTGGAGCATCTGACGGTGTCTGCGTACATTCTTGTTGCACTTACATGTCACACCTAGAAATGGGGTGAGGTCTCCGTCAGCAAGTTGTAGGGAGACAACAGGGATAGGGTTGACTATTCCATAATGCACAGGGCAGTCTCGGATGCCACTGTTCATACTGTCCTGAGCCAGAGTGTCAGGCTGAGATTCAGAAACGAAATGTATACTGAAGTATTTGTGGCCGAGATAATGTTTGGGGTTCACTTTAAAATAATTGTTTTGGAGTTAGGGGTTATAAATGGCAGCATAGTAGACATAAGTTGATAATTGTTGAAGCTGGGTCATGGGTTTCGTTGCAGTAGTCTGAGTTTTTGTGCATGTTTGATTTACATAATACAAGTGAAGCACCGTGATTATGAGGAATTCTCTATTAGCCTTTCATGAATTGGTTTTAGAACTGTTGGCAATCATCGCCTAGATCTGTTAAGGGTTGCAAAGTGGTAATTTTTAACATTTTTTTTTCATTCTTCCTCCATGTGTTAGACTTCTAAAAAGAACTTTCTCACAGTCAACTATTTGAATATGGTAGCTCCGCCTTATTCATGGTTTTGCCTTCTGCACGTCTAGGCACCCATGATCAACAGTGCTCTGAAAATGTTAAATAGAAAATTCCATAAATAAACAGTGCCCAAGATTTAAGTCATGGATCGTTCTATGTAGTGTGATGCCATTCCTTGCCCCTCCCCACTAGATCCATCCAGAAATGGGAACCATCCCTTTACCCAACATGCCCCGGCTGCCGGTCGCTGAGTAGCTGTCTCAGCTGCTGCAGTATCGCACCGCTTCGGTTTCAGCCATTCTTTAGTAGTAGCCTAGTTCTGCTGCAGTGCCTTCATCATCCACCTTGCATTATCTCATCACAGGGACATTGTTATCCCGCATCTTCACAAGCGTAACTTTCTCAATGTGCTCCAGTAGTTCTGCTTTGTTATTGGATACATTTTACCCGCTATTTTACCCCTTATGTGTGTATATAGGAAAAAGCCCAAAATATGTAGGGTTTGGTTCCCTTTGAGGTTTCAAGGAACCACTGGGGTCTTGGAATATTTGCCCCGGGCATAAGGGGAGACCACTGTAGAGTTAGTATAGGAAATGTAGGATAAATAATTTATCCTTTTTTTTTGGTTTTGCAGTAATGAACTGATGATTTCCCTTGTTACCTTTAAAGGTGACTGATAAGGTTTTAAATTTATATTGTCGATTTAGTTTAGATATAATTCATGTTTCAGGCTGTTGGAGACTCCTGGTGCTCATATTATCCTATTGTTGGGCAGTGGGAGCCACTTTAGATTTATATATACATTTTTCCATAATAAAAATAAAAGTAAAGGTATAGCAGTAAGATGCTCTCTTACGTGGTTTCAGTAATTGTCAGTTCAGAGCCGAACTTCTTTCCTGTGTGTCCCTATACACTCCATCCTCCCTCCTTACTCTCAGGTTTTATTAAAATTCTGGACATCATATTTCATTTGTAAACATCACAGAGTATAGCTCTAAAGGAAATAAGATTTATTTTATTGGAAAGCAGATTTTTTTAATTGCATTTTTAAAAAGATTTATTTATTTTTATTGGAAAGGCAGATATACAGAGGAGAGACAGAGAGGAAGATCTCCGTCCAATGGTTCACTTCCCAAGTGGCTGCAAGGCTGGAGCTGAGCCAATCCAAAGCCAGGAGCCAGGAACTTCCTCCAGGTCTCTCATGTGGGTGCACAGGTTCCCAAAGCTTTGGGCCGTCCTCTACTGCTTTCCCAGGCCACAGGCAGGGAGCTAGATGGGAAGCGGGGCTACCGGGATTAGAACCAGTGCCCATATGGGATCCTGGCATGTCCAAGGCGAGGACCTTAACCACTAGGCTATCACATTGGGCCCGGAAAGCAGATTTTACAGAGAGAAGGAGAGATATAGAGGAAGATGTTCTGTCCACGGTTCACTACT